CTTCTACTCAGTCGTAAACAGTAGAAGAAAGAGAAACCGTGTTAATATATTAGGAGGCATTCAATACAAAAATCCTAAGGCCCAACAAGCCGTCTAAAGTGTCCAATGGATCTCTAGATCGAAAATGCTTACATGGAGGATAACATAGACATATGTGAAGCTTAATGTGACACATGAAAGACTACCCTAAAAGCCACCATAACATTTGAGTTATTGGAGTATGTCCATTTGGAAGTTGATAAAGATAAGAGCATGTTCTAAAAGACTAAAAGGAGTACTTGAAGCCAATTCCCATGTGATTGAAGGCCCAACACAATTATATGTGTATGGAGGAGTTTATTAGAGCTATAATCTTTTAAATTATGACATAAATGCATTGTCCTACCCCTTCCTTGCTACCCTCCCTGCTTCCCTCTCATTTTCCCTCCCTTCCCCAATGTCTTTTTTCTTGTTTCTTTTTATTACTAAATTTTACATTTCATGAATGACATTTTGATATCTTACGGACAAAAAATAGAGCTATTTTCAATTTTTTATGATTTTTTAAAGATTTTTGGTAGTGACATGGATCGAAGCTGGCACCGAGCTACTTAATGATAATGCAAATCTACTTAGAGAGATTCGGCCTTTGATGAGCAGGGAATGGAATATCTCTGTTGTCTCATACCCGAGAGACGTAAACGTGGTGGCTGATTTAGTAGCAAATAAGGCACTGAATGTTGCTCCTGGATTGGTATCGTTTGAGTCTCCCTCAGAAGACATTTTGTCGGCGCTTGAGCTGGATTCTAGAGCCTATATGCAGTGCGTTTATGTAACTTGCTGTTGCTTATTGAAAAAAAAAAAGAAAGGAAAAGAAATGATTAGGAAAATATGTACATAAATCATAATTTAAAAACTTTCGTTTAAAGTATTTAAATTTAATTCTTTTCTGAAAGTTTCCAATAAGTCTTTTTTTTTTTAAGTTCATACATTTAATATTTTGTTTTGAAAAGAATTATATATATATATATATATATAGCTTCAATTTATTTAATGAATTTATATGTTTTTGGCAATGTTAAAAAAACCGGCTTTGACAAGTTGGTTCAACTAAAAAACTGGTGAACCGGTCTAGGATCCTGTCTGGTTTAAGAGGTAAAACGATCGAAATTTAAACTGACATTAAACTGGTGAAATCAATTAAAACTGGTATTAAGCTGGGTAAATCACCAGTTAGGTTGGGTTACAAGGTTTAGTTATTTCCTCCCTCTGACTTGCCAAAACCGTGTCATTCTGTCTGAAAAATCCAAATTTGAAATCAAATTCTAGTTTGTCAGTCCTAAACTTTTTTTTAAAAACAAAACTTGAATCGTTGAATATGATTTGAAAAAAGAGAAGAAGAGCTAAAGATGATGAGAAGAAATGACTGAAGGAGGAAAACACACAAGGCAAGTAGATGAGACCCTTCAAATTTTCTTGTTTTCACTTTCTTTGACTTGTGCCCTTCATTAAAATGACCAGTAGTGCTTGATTTTGAATGGAGAAGATGCTTTTGCCTTTCAAACAACTTGAGTCTTAGATATGAAAAAGCAAAGCTCTCTCTGGTGGAAGTCTTTTTTTTTTTTTATTTTGGAGGAGAAAACTGACGGGAGAGAGAGGAAAGTTGAAAAAGAAGAAGAGGAAGAGTGTGAAAATTGAAAAGAAAAGAAGACTTGACAAGAGACAAGCAACCGGCATAACAAGGCAGAAAGAGAATTTGATAATAAATAAATCAATGAGAAACTATTAAACATATTATATAATATTTAAAAAGTTTGCAAATTGAAATTAGGTAAAAATATTAAAGGATAAAGATACAGATTTACCCCTAATTTTATTTTTTTAAAGGTACTTAGTACCTTTTAAAATTGACCAAAAATTATTTTCCATTGAATTATACTCCTCCAATCTTAAATATAAAACTCTTTTTGTAATGTAATGTATGATACAAAAGGAGTCTTATATTGAGGACCAGAGAGATATTATTTAATTAAGACCAGTTTGATTACAAGTTGACCCTCGGTCTGACCTAGTAACCTGCAAACTAGTATATTAACCGATTTAGTGTCTGATCTATTTTTTTTCCTTGTTTTTTGGTTTTATAATGGGCAAATTGCTTTAAGGTCCCACCAAGAGAAATAAATACAGAAAGGTTTCTTGAAATCATCGAATTGCTATAAAGCTTCAAGGGACCTTATTGTAAAATATTCCAATTGTTCAATTATTAGACTACCTCATCTTCTTTTTCAGATATGCATTTACAACTAAAAAAAGTAGTTATTAACAACTCAAGGTGAAATAATTAATAATTATTGTGGAAGGTGTTGACAACACATTTTCTCTATATTTAACAGTACATGTTGACAATTAAAAGGGCAGTCGTTAATAACTCAAGATGCAATGATTAACAATTTTCACAGCAAATATGAACAATACATTTTTTCAACGCATGACAAAAAGAAAATGTGTTATTAAGACTTACCACAATAGTTGTTAATTATTGTATCTTGAATTGTTAACTATTGCCATTTCAATTGTCAACGCGTGCATTGACAAAATGTATTATCAATACTTTCTGTGATAGTTGTTAGTTATTACACATTGTATTATTAATGATTGCCCTTTCAATTGTCAACACATATTTTCAAAAAAAAAGGATAGTTCAAAAATTAAATAAGTGAAATATCTTACAATGAGGTCCATTGAGACTTGAGATTAATTTAATGATTTCAATGGATTTTTTTGGCTTTGTTTTTTTGGATGGGACCTTAATGCAATTTTTCCTATTAATAACATTAAGGTCCCATTTGGTAAAAGCATTAAAAATGAGGGATAAGGACTGCGGTTGAAAGTGAAAAACTATATTAAAAAGGTGTTTAGGATGAGTAATTGTGTGATACTTGGGATTAGGCAATCCCATATATGTGGGATTAGGGAATACCATGAGAGGAGATTATATTCTCCAATCCCACCTACATGAGATTGCCTGATCCCATGTGATAAGAAATTAATCATACTAAACATTCTTTTAACATATCTTTTCAACCCCAATCACAATTTTTATCCCTTATTTTTAACGGTTCGTCCCAAATGAAACCTAAGATGCCAAGTCATAATATTTCTTGAATGTGATATATTGAAGCCGATTCAATGGCAACCATAAGTGAAAACTACGTACCGTCTGGTTTGGTTTGCGTTGCTTTGCCTTAAGATTATTATAGGTTCAACAAGTTGATTTAGTCTATCTGTCGCTCCTTTATTGAGTGGCTCTCGTTCAGGAAAACGAAATCCTATCCAAGTCAAGAAAACGTGTTCGTCGATGCCTAATTAATTAATGTTGGAATGACTACGGTTGTCCCATTGCTCCTTGTACTTATTATTTTTGGCATGACTCTAAGATGTTTTCCTTTATTTTGACTTCTAGAGACTGAAGTAATTATCTCCCCCGGATGACTTTTGATATAGTTATTTTTTTAAAATAAACTTTAAGATACTTTCAATTGCTGTTAAAATATACTTCAGGCTAAAATAAACAAAATCCCTTAAATTTGTTAATCCTTTCTAAATAGAAAATATAAATGACTTGTATGTAATTACAAGCCAAATGCCTAGCATTATTTTTAAATGACATAGTACATAATAAAAATAAAATAAAATTTTGACATGACAAAAACTGTTAACTTTAACTGTAATTTTAATAGCAGGAGGTTGATAATCAAAACATGAAATGGTAGAGTCGTTAATTTAAACTTTCAAAAGTCAAAGAGTTATACACAATTGATTTAAAATTTTAGGGGCTTTACATATTTTAGCCTATATTTAAACTCGGGTATTTGAAGGATTTTGTTATGAGTTTAGAACCAACTTCATTTAATTTGAATTATTTTGAGTATATGAGACTTAATAACTCCAGAATGTTTTAAACTGCGAGATCATTGGGCTTTTATTTTCATGGAAACTTCTCAATCTAAAGTTGATCTATGAAAGGTTTGATTTAATGATGATTGCAGATGGGAAGAGCCCTATTTGAACACCTAAAATAAGAAATTTGAATTCAAATACAAAAAATGAAATTTTTACTAAACTCGAATAGGAAAAAAAAAGTAAAAGTTATCATTCAATATCCCAAGTTAAAAGAAGAATGAGAGATAGAGATAGAGAAAGGAAATGTTGACGAAGAAAAAATATGAGGGACCATCCCCTTAGAGCTAGCTAGTCGGGACCAACCCGCTAACCCACAAAAAATAACAAGTTAGAATTGGCCAAAGTCAACTTGCAAGCAAATGAAACTTTAGTACCACCTGATCCCTGGGATTGGTAGGCTAACCTGAATTTATTTTTTAATTTTATTAATTATTATAATTATATTATTATATTTTAATCATATCCAAAAAATTAAAAAATACCAATATCATTTATTTGGTGTTCTCAATAAGTATTTGAAGCAAAAATAGAAATTCCATTATATTTTCTTTATATTGTGTGAGGAAAAAATAATTTTAAAAAAAAGAAATTAATAATTCTCGGGTCGGCCAACCCACCATGACAAACTTTAGCCAACCTGTTATTATACGGGCATTTTCAAACCGTTTAACCTTGACCCATCTTGGGTCAATTCTAACCCGTCCCGGTGGCCCATATTACCACTGTTGCATCCCGTGAGACTCGCTCCAAAGTTAATTGATTAGGCATTGACGAACACATTTCCTTGACTTAAAAATCGTTTTCCTGAACGAAAGAAATTCAATAGAGGTGACATCGCATTAAATCAATTTGCTGTCCTTTAAACAAACCAAACCGGACGGAGAAGTAGCTTTCTCTTTATTATGACAAGGGAAACTTCGTTGCGCCTTCCCAAGAAGACTTGTAATTAGACTTTCACATTTTAAGACCAGTGATAACAGAAGATTATGGCCATTTTAGCAGCAAAAATTATTTTGTTTATCAGTACGTAGTTCTTCTGCTCTCTGATTGTAGTAGCTATGGCTAACGTTGCTTCAAACATTTACTTTCTTCTTTTATTATCATTTCTTTGTGAAAGATATGAAATAGCTTCTGCAAAAATAATAGAACTCGGAGATTCTCTTTCCCCCACTATTCCTCATCCTTCATGGCCTTCACCTTCGGGTCGATTTGCATTTGGCTTTTATCAGCAAGGCAATGGCTTCAAAGTTGGGATTTGGTTGTTCGGCAACATTACTGATACAATCGTTTGGACTGCAAATCGTGATGATCCTCCTGTCTCCTCAAATGCAACGCTAGTTCTAACAAAGAACGGTGAGCTTGTTCTACAAACAGGTCAAGGGCGAAATTCTCCTATTGCTAGCATTTTAGAGCCTGCAAACTCAGCATCTATGCTCGATTCTGGGAACTTCGTGCTTTATGGAAGAAATCACAGGGTTATTTGGCAAAGTTTTGATTTCCCCACTAACACCATATTAGGAGGTCAAAATTTATCTACCAAACATGGATTGCTTTCTGATTTGTCGGAATCGAACCATTCAAGTGGACATTTCGTTCTTAAAATGCAGGATGATGGGAACCTTGTTGCCTACCCTTTGAACAGTGAAAGGAGCGATGATGCTTTCTGGGCCTCAAATACTTTGGACACAACCATCTCACAACTAACTCTTAATCTTTCAGGCTCTCTTTGCTTGGGGAATGATACAAATCTCATTAAGGTAATAATTGCCCCTAGCAAACATGTTGGAAAGAACACAAGCTTAATCTACCGTGCTACACTGGATGTAGATGGTAATTTTAGGTTGTATGTTCACACATCTGAGAAGAATGGTCGCTTCACTAGCCAAATTGTGTGGCAAGCTATTTCTGATCATTGTCAAGTCAATGGCTTTTGTGGCTTGAATAGTTATTGCTCCATCGTCACTGGCAAAGCCGAATGTAAGTGTTATCCTGGATTCAAGCCAATCAATGCAAACAATAACATGTTCTTGGTTTGTGAACAGACGATAAAAAATGACTGTATTACTAGTAAAGATCCAAGGATGCTATACAATATTAGCAACCCATTGCAACATATGGAATGGAGCCTTGTTCCTTATTTGGTTATTTCACTAGAAATGGAAGCTTGTGGGAAGTCTTGCCAGGAAGACTGTGATTGTGCGGCAGTGCTACATGAAGCTGGCATCTGCAAGAAGTATAAGCTGCCGCTTAGATTTGGCAGAATTAATCAAAATACATCAGCCACAGCCCTCTTCAAGCTGCCTTCAGGAATTGCCATCACTACTACTCCAAATCCAAGGAGTCCTTTGGTTCAGGTTGATCACAAGAAAAATCTCATTTTGACTTTGATCTTCACTTTAGGTTCAATTTCATTTGTTTGCTTAGTCATCGCAATGTCTATTTTCTTCATCTACAAGCGTCAAGTCCATTCATACAGAAAGCTTTCTGCAAGTACGAACCTAGGATTTACTGAGGATTGTAGTCTGCGAATTTTTTCCTTTGATGAGTTGGTCAATTCAACAGGAAATTTCACAGAAGAAGTTGGTCGAGGATCTTTTGGAGTGGTTTACAAAGGGATAATTCGAGGAAGCAATAGAAGGATTATTGTGAAGAAACTAGATATTGTTGTTGATGAAGGAGAAAAAGAATTCCAAGCTGAAATCACTGCAATTGCTCGAACTCATCACAGAAATCTAGTTCAGCTCATTGGTTATTGCAATGATGGTTCAAGAAAGCTACTTGTTTATGAATATATGAGCAATGGATCTCTAGCAGATTTTTTGTTCAAGGCGGAGATGCATCTATCTTGGAAACAAAGAGTCAAGATTGCATTAGATGTAGCAAGGGGAATCCTATATCTACATGAAGAGTGTGAAGTTTGTATCATCCATTGTAATATCAAGCCTCAAAACATTCTCTTGGATGAAATGTGGACAGCGAAGATATCTGATTTTGGACTGGCAAGGCTATCAATGCCAGGACACTCAATAATGGCATTAACAAGTGGCTACATAGCACCTGAACGACAAAAAGACGCATTAGCAACTGTTAAAGTTGACATCTACAGTTATGGCGTGGTGCTGTTGGAGATCATATGTTGTAGAAGGAATATAGATGTGAAGGTTTCTTCAGAAGAGGAAATAATGCTTTCAAGTTGGGTGTATAATTGCTTTGTGAGAGGGGAACTGAACAAGTTGGTAGTAGATGAAGATGTGGAATGGAGGACATTTGAGAGAATGGTGAAGGTGGCCTTATGGTGTGTCCAAGAGGACTTGTCCTCGCGTCCTTCAATGAGGAAAGTACTATTGATGCTGGAAGGTTTGAAGGATATTCCAATTCCTCCATCTCCATCCCTTTTTGTTTGATCATCTTTAAAATTACAATGTATAAGCGTTTGATTTTGCATTCGCCTTTAACTTTGAATTTTGTGTGTGCGTGCGTTTGATAATTTTAATTTTATTGTCCACTAGAGCTTGCTGTAGTTTGTGTTTAGAATGCATAGGACTTAATTTATGGAAAAAGGTTTATCTGTTTGTTCGTCAAACTTCCTGGGATAAACACGATATTCACCCTAAAAATTAATTCAAAATTAATTAAACTCATACAGTTTTTTTTTTGGTGCGATCAAACTCATAAAATTTAGTTATGTAGTAATAATTTCTTTTGAAATGATCATTCCTATGCGAAAGTATTCAACAATCACTACTTATTTCAATAGGAAAGAAAAAGTTCTCTCTGTTTTTTTTCCCTCGATATATTGATATAGGAGATCAGACAAATGAATGGATGATGACCTTGTTTCTGAAGACAAAATTGTTTTGGAAGGAAAGAAAATTTTCCTCGGAACCATGTGAATCAAATTTCCAAGAAAACAAACTAAGATTATTGATAATAGAGACCTGCCATCATATACAATAAAAGAGAATTATAGGTTTAAAGATCCTAAGAATATGTATATATTGAGACAAGATATATACGACATGTATATTAGCAAAAAAAAAAAAACTTGCCCACAAGAATTTCAATGTAAATAGTTCTTTAATAAGCTTCCAGGGGAATTTTTTTTTAATTAAAGAAACAATTGAAACAAGGTCCCACCTAAGAGAATTAAATACAAACAAGTTCCTCAAAATTATCAAATTATTCTAAGGTTTTAAGAAACTTCATTGTAAGAAATTTTATTTGTTTAATTATCAAATTGTCCTTATTTTTTTAAAATATGTATTGGCAAATAAAAGAGCAATTATTAATAAATTAAAGTGTAATGATTAACAATTATTATGATAGGTATTGACAACTCATGAATTATATTTTTATGATATGCTGAAAAAATGTATTGTTAATACCTGTTGCAATATTAATATGAGATTTTTATGTACAGATGTTTAGTTTCAAACTCTTAAACAAGTAAAATGGTTCCATTAAATATTATAAAGTTCAAGATTTCATAATAACTTAAACGTAAAAAAAAAAAAAAAAAATTCCGAACTCAGGCCAGTTGTCCAAGGCATTGACGAAACGCTTTCTTCGCTTGACCTCAAAAGTCGTTTTCCTCTATGAAAACAGCTCAATAGATTAGTGATTAAGCCAGGCTGACCAAATCAATTTGCTGATTTGCTGAGCCGCCTCCACTCGCAAGCCAAACCAAACTAGATGTGGAACAGGAAATTTAGAAGTGTTAAACAAATTATCATGCTTTATTAGTTTTAGTTATAATGTAAAGTAATATCCAGCACCTTAATCTTATTTTTAGATGCATCTAATATCATGATTTTTTTTTTATGGTTTATCCAGCAGATGTTACTGAAAAAATTAACATCGGAGTGTTAAAAATATGTTCTAGAAAAATAAGATCAGGGTGTTGGATGCATTATTAAAAGAAAAAATTAAGGTACTAGATGCATCTAAAAAATAAGATTGGGGTGTTAATTGGGTCTTTACCTCTTTGTTATATGGTCTTCTCCTAAAAAATGAAAAGTTTTACAAAATGACTTAAAGGGTGAGAAATTTCATAAGGAGTACCAGCTCTACGAGCTTATAGTAGATTTTAAAATACTCAATCGACTTGACAGAAATCTTCAGAAATCTGCATTGATAATTCTTAAGTTAAAAGTTTGATTGCAGGTCTGTAACGGACCTTAGCTTCAAAACTTGATCATTCCTCTCAAATATCTTACCCTTCATATGCACAATTTTCAACAAAAACCAAAAAGAACGTTGTTGAAGAAAAGTCAAGGGCCATTTATACTGTTCTGTTAGAAGTCATTTTTAAATTGCTGGACGAAAACAAAGTCAACAAAGAAGTGACAGAGTGCTAACACATAGTAAATTTGTTGACCCACTCTTGGACAAACCAAACCGGATGGAATGAATACGTTGATTTGTTGCCATTTGGTTGATTTTAATACAGGATGTTCATATATTGACCAAGTCAATTTGTTGCCCCCTATTACCCGAATGCTTTCCAATTGCTACTCCAATTAGCTTCCTCCATGTTCAGATTTTAATTTAGTTGGGGAAAAAATCTTTCAGCTGAAGAAAGTCAAGATAATGAGGATGTAATAGTTAACAATGTGACAAGTGCAACTTCGCTGCGCCTTCCCAAGCAGAATTGTAATTAGACTTTCAAGGGTAAGACTTCTAAGACTAGTGATAACAGTAGATGATCGCCATTTTAGTAGCAAATTAAAAATTAGTTTGTTTATCAGCAACTCCTCTTCTCTTTAATTGTAGAGTACCTATGGCAACCGTTGCTTCAAACGTCTACTTTCTTCTGTTACTATCTTTGCTCCGTGAAAGATTTGAAGCAGCATTTGCAAACCAAATAACCCTTGGGGCATCACTTTCCCCCACTATTCATCCTACTTCATGGCGTTCGTCTTCTGGTCGATTTGCGTTTGGGTTTTATCAGCAAGGCAATGGCTTCAAAGTTGGAATTTGGTTGTTTGGTGATGATGCTACTAATACAATCGTGTGGACCTCAAATCGTGATGAACCTCCAGTCTCCTCAAGTTCAAGGCTGTTTCTGACCAGGAACGGTGAGATTCTTCTACAGATAGGTCCAAGGCAAGAGAAGCGTATTGCTCACAGTGATAACGGAACTGTTCATTCTGCCTCCTTGCTTGATTCTGGCAACTTGGTGTTACAAGACAGAAGTTCCAATATCCTTTGGCAGAGTTTTGATTACCCAACGGATACAATTTTAGGAGGCCAAGTTCTACGAACTGGGGATAGATTGCTTTCTAGCTCATCAAACACCAACCAATCGTCAGGAAGGTTTCAGCTCAAAATGCAAGATGATGGAAACCTCGTTATGTATCCAGCCTATCCATCCACCACACCGTCGGATGCCTACTGGGCCACCATGACAGTGAATGGCGCAGGTTCCAAATTTTATCTTTCACTTGAAAATACATCTCCCTATCTGCGTATCTTAGATGCTAATCGTTCCAACACGGTCATATGGGAACCAAATGATACTGATTTGTCAACTTCAAGTAGCAACGGAAACAACACCATTTACCGTGCAGCCATTGATTACAATGGAGTTTTTCGAGTCTATGCTCATTTTGATGATAAGAATGGAAAACGCCAAGCTAGAAGTGTGTGGTCAGCTTTGGATGTATGCGATGTGAAGAATTTTTGTGGGTTCAATAGTTATTGTACATATATAGACGATAAACCCTTCTGTGATTGTCTTCCTGGAACTGATTATATAGATCAGAGTCAAAATAATCTTGGCTGCGTAAGGAACTTCTCAGATGTTGGGTGCAGAAATGGAGGAGATAATACAGATTTATATTCCATGTTTGGAATGAGTAGCATGTCTTGGAGTGATGCTCCTTACTTTGAAGAACCAATTCCAGAGGAGGACTGCCAATCTTCTTGTCTCAAAGATTGTTATTGTGGGGCTGCAATATACAAGGACGAGCGATGCGGGAAACAAAAGCTTCCATTAAGATATGTTAGAAGACAAACACAAGGATCCTCGTACACAATATACTTCAAGGTGGGAAAAGTAAGCCTCAAAAGCAACAGCACGTCTTCTTTTATACCTGAACCTCCAATAAAGACAACCAGTAAGAAAGCAATTCTGCTTATCACTCTTTTGATCTTAGGTTTTGCTATTCTTTTGTGTTCGGCTATTGCAATATCTGGCCATTTAATTTACAGAATTGGAATTTTAAGTTATAAGAGGTTGCTGGAGGTTGGAGATTTGGGCTTGAACGAAGGGATTACTCTCAGGTTATTTTCGTACAATGAATTGAAGAAAGCAACAAATGGCTTCAAGCAAGAGTTGGGTAAGGGTTCCTTTGGATCAGTTTATAAGGGAAGTTTAGACAAAGGAAGAAGATTGATTGCAGTGAAAAGACTAGAGAAGTTAGTTGAAGAAGGCGAGAGAGAATTCCAAGCTGAAATGCGAGCCATTGGGAAAACACACCACAAAAACTTAGTTCGCTTGCTGGGATATTGTGCTGAGGGATCTAAAAGGCTTTTAGTTTTTGAGTACATGAGCGGTGGTTCCCTTGAGAAGCTTATCTTTGGTGATAGTACTAGACGTCCAGATTGGGATCAAAGAAGAAGAATAGCACTGGACATTGCAAAAGGGCTATTGTATCTGCATGAAGAATGTGGAGCTCCCATCATTCACTGTGACATAAAGCCTCAAAACATATTGATGGATGAGTTCTGGACAGCTAAAATATCTGATTTTGGGCTAGCAAAACTTCTAATGCCGGATCAAACAAGAACCTTCACTGTTGTTAGAGGCACAAGAGGATACTTAGCTCCAGAATGGCAAAAAAATACTCCAATAACAGTGAAAACAGATGTTTATAGCTATGGAATCATGCTTTTGGAAATTCTATTTTGCAGAAGAAACATGGTGATTACCGTGTCACATCCAGAGCAAGTTGTTCTATCCACTTGGGTCTGCAATTGTTTTGTTAGGAGAGAGTTAAAGAAGCTTGTTATTGGGGAAGAAGTGGATAACACATTGCTTGAGAATATGGTGAAAGTGGGGTTATGGTGTATTCAAGATGAACCTTTTCTTCGGCCATCCATGAAGAGTGTAGTGTTAATGCTTGAAGGAATTACTGATGTAGCTATCCCTCCTTGTCCATCTCCTGATTCCATGTGACATTTCTCTCTCTGCTGGGGCCCAAAAAAAAAAAAAACTACAGTGAATCTTGTGTCGTTTTGATGTGCTCTGTTTTATCATTGTGTTTTTGTGTGTAATATGATTTTCTAAGTTTTTTAGCTGCAAATAATATAAGGATGCATTGGAGATTAGTAGTATTCCGATTTCCTTGGTCCAAAATGATTTGCTGTTCTGTAACACCTAAAAAAAAACACACACACACACAGTTATTATTGTTATGTTTCTCGTTTTATTTTAGAATAACATTGTTATATTTTATAGTTGTTAATTCAAATTATCTTGTTTTCATATTTCATATATGTAATAAAAATGTATTGACTTGCCTGGACAATTTTTTTATAATCATAAACTACTCCCCAGTAGAATCCCTTAGCAATCAAGAGGAATATTTTGAAGGGGGAAAAAATGAATTTGGGAGATAAGGTAAATTGAAGCATTACATTTAAGGCCAAATTCAATGTCCAACTATCTCTAATGTTAAATACCAAAGGTAGCAATAGCTAAGTGAGTTCATGTCCTACCCCACTGATCATCACCTTTGAGCTGCTCATTGTGTTCTTCCATACATCATGTCTTCTCTTGGCAAAAGCTTCTAATTTCCTTCTTCTCCGGACTTTCCATTGAAAGCCTTCAGTGATTTTGATTGGGCTGGTTGCTTTTATCTCCTGGCATTATGTTCCAAGAAGTAATAAAACAAATTGAGAAAATTGTTTCTTGCTCTCCTCTTCCAAGGCTGAGTTTCTAAACATATTGAGATCGATTATCATGTGTTCTTGAGAAAATTTACTACGCCATTGGATCTCCCAATCTGGTTCAAGTCTCTTATGACTTAATGGTGAGGTATATATGATGGAGACTATATACTACCTCCGGTCCTTAATATAAGACCCCGTTTGACTTTTTGTTTGGTCCTAATTATAAGACCCCAATCCATTTTATCTATCATATTTATACATTTTTTTCCAAGATAGTCCTTCTAATAATGGTAGTTCTAGCCAATACACTTAATTAGCAAGGATATTTTAGGAGTGATAACACTTATTTATTATAAATAACTAACTTAATTTACTTCCTTAATCTTCTCAAATAAGTCAACCGGGTCTTATAATTAGGACCGGAGGTAGTATAACTTAAGTTAATCTGGTTGTACATTAGCTAATCAGCTTCACACGCGTGTGCACTTCCAATAATGTGAATATGCAAGTCATTTAGACCTATTCTTCTCTTTCCGTCAGCACATCTGTTATCGTCAATACATATACACGTATACAAACATGCTCCGACTCATATTTTTCTTATTCCTTTTCTTTTTCTTTTGTTGAATATAATCACAGCTGCAAGTATATATAACGTTAAAAAGAAAAGAGATAAGATGCCTAAATACTACATTCGATCCTAATTATAAAATCTCGTTTAATTAGGACAGGAGGTATTATTTAAAAAAATATTCACGAACGACGCATCCAGCATCTGGAAGTTTTCTTCTTTATTTTATTTTTTAACTCTTATATGTCCTGAAAGTTTTAGGACCCTCTAAAAATGGAGGATTTGGAGAGGGTAATTTCTTATCCTATTTTGACTAAAATGCCCTTAGTTTACATGAAAACCAAAAAATCTACTCTGCAAGCCAATATCGCCCGTTTCTCTCTTTAGACACGTTTAGTGTGATACTAAAATTCGTCCTCTACTCTCCCCTTCCTTTTCCTTCTAAAATTGAACAAGATAATATTAAAATTCATAATTTTCTTCCATTAAAAGAAACAGATGTTATCCGTTAGGATCAAATCTTTGAGTGTTTTGGGCCTCACATTGTTGGTCTCAGATTTTGGACACTATTGACCCAAAATAAGACACCCAAAGGGGGGCAAAGAGCGGAAAAGGAATCACATGGTGGACTTTTCATTCCTATCAAATGGACAAGTCCAGCCCATGGTCTTGAATTTCCTGAACTAATAATCATAACGAGCCCAGATGGGTCACACACTTTTCGACAATAAAATGTATTGGAGCCACAGCTCTTTGGCATGCAGGTTTTTTCACGCCCAGGAAATTCATGCGAGATGTATTAAAAGGCTTTCTGCAGATTTGGTCATACAGATTATCTAACTTCAATTATGTAGTCCCTTAGTTTAACCTATCGCCAGTGGGTTAAGCGGTAAGAATCTCACCCTCTCATTAAAAAAATAAGATGCAATTTCCCGTCACAGTGCTTAGGAAGCCATCCTAGATTTAGATGTGCTTAAATAAATGCATGAAGGTTTGTTGTAGGTTTGCCTTCCTCAATATTTGCTTAAGTTAATCTTGAACCCTTATCTAAAATTTTTGTATTAAAACATAGTCCCTTAGTTCATAATTTTATGCATAGAATTACGTGCTAGTTAGTCGATTTACTTATAGCTTTATATATTGTTTCACCTGTGATTTTCAATCAAGTTTTAAATCAGTTATATCCTTCTAATTAATTTTAAATGTTTTATTTCATTGGTATTCTTAGTCTCAAATGCACATAACTTAATTTGTTTATTAATTATGGTACCACACGTAATTATTAGAGAAAATTAAAGAAGACCTAAAAAAAAACTACTTCTCCAATACTAAATATAAGACATACTTTACAGTGTGACTTACATAACAAAGTTGGTTTTATATTTAGAACCGGAAGAGTTATATTTATTCAAAAGGATCTTAAAAATTGTAATTATTTAGAGGATCAAATATCAAAATATAATTTTAAAAACACTAAACTACCCATAATTAAATCCCTAAATTTTTTCTAATCACATCTCACATATGCTCTATGTTTGGGGATTAACTCCTATAATACACAACATTATATTTCATATTTTAATAATATTGGATTAAAAGTAAAAATTTATCATTTTCACCTAAACCAACAAATAAGCACAAAAATGAGATCCATATATTGGCTTCATATTTCACCAAAAAAATTAGTTTCATATCATTTTTGAGGTAGACATAGGGTGAAATCCAAATAACATGAAAGTCAAATTAATCAACTATACTCATACAATTTTTCATGGTTTTAATTTTTTCTCCGTAAGTATTTTTCATAGTTTATTTGTTTTTTTTATCTTGATATGTCTATTAAAGTAAATCATACTAAAAATAAAATTTATTAAAATTAAGAGAAGGGAAAATTTTAGATATAAAAATAAATTTGAACAATACTATATATCTAATTATATATTATTTTAAGAAATTGAAATTAATAACAATGTTAACAAAAATATTTACAAATTTTTATTTTTATTTATCGAAATCAATTAAAAAATGTTTTTTCGGGTTTAAATATCTATAAAACATATGTATAGTAAAAAAATTTATAAAATACAAACTAAATAAATAAATAATTGAAAAAAAGAGGAAAATCCAATTTAAAGCCGCAGAAAGGCAAAAATGAAAATTAGTTATTGCTAGCATTATTTATGTAGACAAATAATTTCGTTTCATTGTTTGTTTAAATATATAAGAAATTTTGGATTAATAATAAATGATTTGTTTTGCAAATATTGATGCGAAAAAGATTATAAAAAATTTTAGTATAAATTAAGAAGATTATAAAAATATATATTAAATTGTAATGGATGTATGATAAGAGGAAGTGTAGGGATTTAATTAGGGTTAATGAGGTATTTTTAAATCTATATTTTAGCATTTGGTCCCTTTAAAAAATTATAATTTTCAAAATCCTTCTCAATAAATATTAGTTTTTTTAGGTAGTTGTCTCAAAATTTTCCTAATTTTTATTATTATTTTCTTTTATCTCTGATATCACTTCTATTGTATTCTTTTACAACTATTTTTTGCTCACATCAGACAATTGGTATGAAAATAGTGAATTACTTTTTCTTAATTCTCTTTTCATGTTTTTCCCTCTATCTCTATGCTGCAGATTAATACGTGCATGTATATTCTTTTTTTTTTTTTTTATGGCCACATGCATGTATATTCTATTTACTATATTACATTATTCTTAGTACAATATTTTTTTACCCGTTACAATACTGTGATGGGTTTTGACAACAACTAGATTGTGATTGACAGCAGTTGTTTTTTTTAAAAAAAAAAAAAACCTGATGTGTAATTTTAATTTTCACAGTTTTTTTGGAATTTTTCTTTCTTTATTCTCCAATATATGGTAGGTCTTATCATATATATATATATATATATATGTATATATTAATTATTTATTTACGAATATGTATAAAAATTTTAAAAAGAATATTAGAATTAATAAGTTAGCAATCAATATTAATAAGACCATCATTTATAATATACATTTACATATATAAGTGATGTGACCGATTTTTTATATTGTGATGAATTAATAAAATTAATAAGCATATCAAAATGCATATAAAAACATTTGATCATATAAAAATAAAGTGAGAATAAAGTTATTCATATGAAAATCCCTTTCATCTCCTTCCCTCTTGAACCAAACGCGCTTTTGATATAAAATTCCTCACTTCTCTTTGCCACCGTTAAAACCCCTCCCATTTCCGATATCGAGCCAACACACTTCTAATTAGAATATCTTCACATGTTTTAGCCTAAAAAACAGTTATTAGTGAAACCAACAAAACAGCTAGGACTAACATAATTTGGGATATAACCCATAATTAACTACTAGTTAATCTTTGTTCTTTTTAGAAAAAAAGATATGATTCATTTAATATTTGAACAGTAATTTTATAAAATATTAAATCTTAATCGTTTAACTTTGGCTTGACTGTTAACATGAGTAATTAAATATGAAGCAGAAGAGGACAAAAAACAGTGAGATCCTCCACATAAGTCACTTCGTCAATGTCAAATTGGTCCAAGAAAATAATTTTCCCCTCTCCTAAATATAAAACTAATTTTATAATATAATTTACACTACAAAATATGTCTTATATTTAAAATTAGAAGAAATGACACAGTACTACTTCTGGTTCTTAATATAAGAACTAGTTAACTAATTTGTGTATATTAAAAATTAGTTAAATTAATTATTTGTAATAAATAAGTATTGTCTTTTCTGGAATGTTTTTGCCAATCATGCATATTAACTAGGATTATTATTTGATGAAACATTTAAAATATATAACTACTGTAAAGATTATTTTAGATAAAATGAATAAATATGAGAAATAAAATAAATTTAAATTTTATGTTTAATATTAAACTAAATATCAAAGCAAGTTGCCACTTTCACAACTTTATAATGTGTTGCCACTTGCTCGGGTAGGCAACTCAAGGTAGTATTATCCCAAAGCAAGTTGTCATTTTCACAACTTTAATGCGTTGCCACGTGCTACATTCCATTGCCAACCAAGTTTGAAAATTCAATGATGCCTGCAGAATTATTTTTATTAGTATTGTCATGCATCCAACAGCAAAAATGGTTAAGTGTAAACTTAAAAATATTTTAGAATATTAAATACATTTAAAAAATATTTTAAGATGTTGGGTACTCCGCTAAATACTTTAGGGTTTTAAAAAAAATGAAAAAAATATTTCAGGATCTGAATAAACTTTAACCTAAAAATCAAAACACCAACATAGCGGTCACAAATAAATTGCAGAACTAACAGAAGCCTCAAAAATTCCAAAGGTTTTCTGGTCCATGGCTGGTCACTTCTATGAATTGCCGTGTTATATATATAATAAATTTAAATTTTATATTTAAGATTAAATTAAATATAAACTAATTCTTACATTAACTACTTGAGATAGTATTATCTCAAAGCATGTTGCCATTTTCACAACTTTAATGCATTGCCACTTGCTCGGATAAGCAACTCGAGGTAGTATTATCTAAAAGCAAGTTGTCATTTTCACAACTTTAATGCGTTGCCATGTGCTCGGATAAGCCAATTTTGAACATTCCATTGCCAAGCGAAGTCTGAAAATTCAATGATGCCTACAAAATTATTTTTATTAGTATTCAATATTTCAAAATATTTAGTATTGTATTCGGCATTTTGACATGTCTTTGTAGTTACATGTAACATTTTAAAGTATTTTTTTATTTTTTATGCATCCAACAGCGTAAATTGTTAAGTGTAAGCTTAAAAATATTTTAGAATATTAAACACACTTAAAAAATATTTTAAGATGTTGGGTAATCCACTAAATATTTTTGGGTTTAAAGAAAACCTGAAAAAATATTTCCGAGTCTGAATAAACTTTAACCTAAAAATCAAAACACCAAAATAGCGGTCACAAATAAATTGCAGAATTAATAGAATTCTCAAAAATTCCAAAGGTTTTGGGGTCCATGGCCGGTCACTTCTACGAGTTGCCGTGTTATATACTCCCACCTACAAAGGAGGGGAAAAAATCACTTCAGATAATCCAGGAAAAAAAAAATAAAAGTGGTTATTTTCCTAATATTGTTTAAATTGATTTTTTCCTGAAATATTTTTCGTATAATATTATTTAAAATTTTTTCTCTCGTGACCATAATGCATTTTGAATAAAGAATACAATTTAAAGAATCTTTTTTAATGATTAAAACCAAGAAATTAAACTCATCTCAAAATTTTCTTATGTTTTAGATCTATCGGAGGAAGTGCATATGTTAGAACAGAGTTAACAGGGACACCGTGCTCAGAAAACGTGAGTAGATCATATTGCTTAAGGTGTTATATTTTTCTTTGGCCAAAATAAATCCATTTTATTGATAGCCAAACAAAGCAAGTTCAAACACTAACAGTGGAAGGAAAAAAATGAAGCACTTAAAAAAAAAAAAAACCTATCTGATATGAACTAACAAACCAAAACCTCACACGAACAAAATATTACCTAATCACAACACAAATACAATGACTGCCTATTTTTAAGATGCATTTTGTACTATAAATTACTTCTTGCATATGAAAACTTGTTTTGTTAAAGGGCATAAAGCATGTTTAGAGGGCAGTGTAAGATGAGACACATACTTAACATCATTAGGCACAACAAAATTTTTTTGAGAAAATTACAATGAGATCCTAAAAAAAAAAAATAGTTACAAGATAAGTTTTAGAAGTTGTTATCACTAGGCTATTTAGGTTATTTATTGAGACTTTTCAGTAATTATATTTTTTTAAAAAAACTTGATTGTAATTCTTCTAATTTATTGAAGGGATAATTGTGTTTGTGAAATGAAAATTGCATTGCTTATGTTCTTTAATGTTTTATTGGGATTATGCGAATGTTTGACGTTGAGGATCCATTCCCTCAAAAAATTATTGAGGATGTCTACACGTGCTGGGAAACTTGTTTCCTTGAGCTACTACAACAATAAAAATTAGTCCATGTAAACCGTAATCATTAGTGTTTTTGTGTCATAAACAAGGATTAGATTTGTAAACAAAGAGAGTTATCATTTGAAATTTTTCGAGTTGTTAAATAAATTTTAATTTAATTGTACACTTATGACTTGGGATTTAATTACCTCGTTTATGGTTTAATTGGTGGTCATTTATGATATATATTGTACATTACATATACTCCTCCGGTCCTTAATATAGGACCCAATTCTTGAGTTGGTTTTGGTCCTAAATATAAGACTCATTTCTCATATTTATCAATGTTCTCTAAATTACCCCTATAGATACTTCCTTAACCATAATCAAGTAGAAAAGGGAGAGGAGGTATTAAGAAGGATGATTATGATATTTTAGGAAAAATGTATCACTTTTTTATAATTAACTAACTTACCTAACTTCCTTAATCTAATCAAATTAGTTAAATAGGTCTTATATTAAGGACCGGAGGAGTATATATATATATATTGTATATTATGTTTGTTTTGTAGTTTAATTGGTGGTTATTTATAATCTATGTAAAAGACCTTTATTTGCAGCTACAAGTAGGCCAAAGCTTAAAGAAAATCATATTGCCCAAACACAATAATAAAAAAAAGGAGAAATTGCAAAAAAATATCTTAGAATTGCAAAAACGCAGATAGGGACCTTTGACAACTTCACTTTAGGTTTTGACAACTTCATGGCATATTATTATTGCCAAAACCTAAAGTGAAGTTATTAAGGGTCCCTATCTGTGTTTTTGTAATTCCAATGTTTTTTTTGCAATTTTCCCATAAAAGAAAGCAAATGATGACAACACGAAATTCACTTCCTTTTTTTTTTTGGCCCAGCAGGGGAATGTCAAAATTAATTTTATAATTCTTTTTTATTTCTGGCAAATAGGTAGATGTACGCAAGCTTAAAGAAAAAATTACACAGAAACACAAAAATCAAAAACAAATCAAATGAAAGCCACATGAAATTGCAACATCTTGTTCGCTTTTGTTTCCTAGCAAATAGAATCAGAAGATGGAGAAGGAGGAATAGCCACTTCCGTAACTCCCTCAAGCATCAACACCACACTCTTCATTGATGGCCGAAGAAAAGGTTCATCTTGAATACACCATAACCCCACTTTCACCATATTCTCCATTAAACTATTATCCACTTCTTCCCCAACAACCAGCTTGTTTAGCTCTCGTCGCGCAAAGCACTTGTACACCCAGTTGGACAGAACAATTTGCTCTGGATTCAACATATTAACCACCAGGCTTCTTCTGCAAAATACAATCTCCAAAAGCATTATTCCATAGCTATAAACATCTGCTTTCACTGTTATTGGAGTGTTCTTATTCCACTCTGGAGCCAAATAGCCTCTCGTGCCCCTAACTTGAGTGAAGGTTCTTGTTTGATCCGGCATTAGAAGTTTGGCCAACCCAAAGTCTGATATTTTAGCTGTGAAAAGCTCATCCATCAATATGTTTTGAGGCTTTATGTCACAGTGAATGATGGGAGCCCTGCATTCTTCATGCAGATATAGCAACCCTCTTGCAATGTCTAGTGCTATTCTTCTTCTCTGATCCCAATCTGGACGCATAGTACTGTCACCAAAGATAAGCTTCTCAAGGGAGCCATTGCTCATGTACTCATAAACCAGAAGCCTTTTAGATCTCTCAGCACAATATCCCAGCAAGCGAACTAAGTTTTTGTGGTGTGTTTTCCCAATGGCTTGCATTTCAGCTTCAAATTCTCTCTCTCCTTCATCGATTGACTTGTGTAGCATTTTCACAGCAATCAATTTTCTTCCTTTGTGTAAAGTTCCTCTGTAAACTGATCCGAAGGAACCCTTACCCAGCTGTTGTTTGAAACCGTGTGTGGCTTTCTTCAGCTCACTGTATGAAAATACCCTCAGAGTACTCCCTTCGGTCACTCCTAAATCTCCAACCTCCAACAACCTCTTGTAACTTAAAACTCCAATCTTGTACATAAACCGGGTAACAACTACTATAAGGATTACTTTAGACAAAATGAATAAATATGATAGATAAAATAAGGATTATTTTGTGCAAGTAAAATTCTTTTATGTACAAGTTATTTTTCCTATGTGCAAACGAATTTCTTATATCTAAATAATATTCTGTGCAAACTATCTTTTCTTTGTGCAACATACAGTCCTTCATATGCAATCAATCTTCCCTTATGCAATCAATCAATATAGGTTCCATTTACCAAATAAATTTTCAATAAGAGATTTATCCTCAATTTATCCTAATATTTTTGTATAATATTATTAAAACTTTTTTTCTCTCGTGACCATAATGCATTTTGAATAAAGAATACAATTTAAAGAATATTTTTTAATCATTAAAACCAAGAAATTAAACTCGTCTCAAAATTTTCTCATGTTTTAGATCTACTGGAGGAAGTGCATATGTTAGAACAGAATTAACAGGGACACCGTGCTCAGAAAACGTGCGTCGATCATATTGCTTAAGGTGTTATATTTTTCTTTGGCCAAAATAAATCCATTTTATTGATGGCCAAACAAAGCAAGTTCAAACACTAACAGTGGAAGGAAAAAGATGAAGCACTTAAAAAAAAAAAAAAACCCTTCTGATATGAACTAACAAACCAAAACCTCACACAAACAAAATATTACCTAATCACAACAAAATACAATGACCGCCTATTTTTAAGATGCATTTTGTACTATAAATTACTTCTTACATATGAAAATTTGTTTTGTAAAGGGGCGAAAAGCATGTCTAGAGGGCGGTGTAAGATGAGACACATGCTTAACATCTTCAGGCACAACAAAATTTTTTTGAGAAAATTACAATAAAATCCTAAAAAAAAAATAATTACAAAATAAGTTTCAGAAGTTGTCATCACAAGGCTACTTAGGTTGTTATTAGGACTTTTCAGTAATCATATTTCTTCTTTAGAACTTGATTATAATTCTTCTAATTTATTTAAGGGATAATTGTGTTTGTGAAATGAAAATTGTATTGCTTATGTTCTTTAATGCTTTATTGGGATTATGCGAATATTTGACATTGAGGATCCATTCCCTCAAAGAATTATTGAGGATGTCTACACGTGCTGGGGAACTTGTTTCCAGCTACTACAACAATAAAACTTGGTCCATGTAAACTGTAATCATTTGTGTTTTTGTGTCATAAACAAGGATTATATTTGTAAACAAAGAGAGTTATTGTTTGAAATTTTCGAGTTATTAAATAAATTTTAATTTAATTGTACACTTATGACTTGGGATTTAATTACCTTGTTTATGGTTTAATTGGTGGTTATTTATGATATATATTGTCCATTATATATATATTGTATATTATGTTTGTTTTGTGGTTTAATTGGTGGTTATCTATAATCTATGTAAAAGACCTTTATCTACAGCTACAAGTAGACCAAAGCTTATAGAAAATCATATTGCACAAACATAATAATAAAAGAAAGCAAATGATGACAACATGAAATTCACTCCCTTTTTTTTTTTCGCCCAGCAGGGGAATGTCAAAATTAATTTTATAATTCTTTTTTATTCCTGGCAAATAGGTAGATGTACGCAAGCTTAAAGAAAAAATTACACAGAAACACAAAAATAAAAACAAATAAAATGAAAGCCACATGAAATTGCAACATCTTGTTCGCTTTTGTTTCCTAGCAAATAGAATCAGAAGATGGACAAGGGGGAATAGCCACTTCCGTAACTCCCTCAAGCATCAACACCACACTCTTCATTGATGGCCGAAGAAAAGGTTCATCTTGAATACACCATAACCCCACTTTCACCATATTCTCCAGTAAGCTATTATCCACTTCTTCCCCAACAACCAGCTTGTTTAGTTCTCGTCGAGCAAAGCACTTGTACACCCAGTTGGACAGAACAATTTGCTCTGGATTCAACATATTAACCACTAGGCTTTTTCTGCAAAATACAATCTCCAACAGCATTATTCCATAGCTATAAACATCTGCTTTCACTGTTATTAGAGTGTTCTTATTCCATTCTGGAGCCAAATAACCTCTTGTGCCCCTAACTTGAGTGAAGGTTCTTGTTTGATCCGGCATCAGAAGTTTAGCCAACCCAAAGTCTGATATTTTAGCTGTGAAAATCTCATCCATCAATATGTTTTGAGGCTTTATGTCACAGTGAATGATGGGAGCCCTGCATTCTTCATGCAGATATAGCAACCCTCTTGCAATGTCTAGTGCTATTCTTCTTCTCTGATCCCAATCTGGACGCATAGTACTGTCACCAAAGATAAGCTTCTCAAGGGAGCCATTGCTCATGTACTCATAAACCAGAAGCCTTTTAGATCTCTCAGCACAATATCCCAGCAAGCGAACTAAGTTTTTATGGTGTGTTTTCCCAATGGCTTGCATTTCAGCTTCAAATTCTCTCTCTCCTTCATCGATTGACTTGTGTAGCATTTTCACAGCAATCAATTTTCTTCCTTTGTGTAAAGTTCCTCTGTAAACTGATCCGAAGGAACCCTTACCCACCTGTTGTTTGAAACCGTGTGTGGCTTTCTTCAGCTCACTGTATGAAAATACCCTCAGAGTACTCCCTTCGGTCACTCCTAAATCTCCAATCTCCAACAACCTCTTGTAACTTAAAACTCCAATCTTGTATATAAACCGGGTAGCGACAGCAACTGCTGAACACAAAAGAATAGCAAAACCCAAGACAATGAGAATGATCATCTTAATTGCTTTCTTACTGTCAGTCTTGATCGAAGGTGGCTGGTTGTCTCTGTTGCTTTTGAGGCTCTGATGTCCCACCTTGAAATATATTGTGGAGTAGGAGGATAGATTTTCTCTTCTGGCATATCTCAATGGAAGCTTATATTTGTTGCACCGATTGTTTTCATAAAAGGCAGCCCCGCAGTAACAATCTCGCAAACAAGAATTTGGGCATTCCTTCTCCATAATGTCTTCGTCTGCATAAGGAAGGTCAAGATCACCATCCACGCTTATATCTTCCAGGGGGGACATGAAATAAAAAGTTGCATTATCTTTCCCACCTTCACATTCAGCTTCTGAGAAGTTCCTTTTGCATCCCAGATTCGTATGACTTGGGTCTATAAAATCAGTCCCGGGAAGACAATTGCAATTAGGTTGGTTGTCATTGTAGGTACAATAGCTGTTGAACCCACAAAAAGTCTTCACATGACAAAGATTGTCCAAGGATGGCGGTGACCACCACTTTTTAACTTGATGTTTCTGATTTGCGTCGTCAAAATGAGCGTAGATTCGTAAAACTCCATCAAAATCAATAGTTGCACGACAAATAGCGTTGTTCCCTTTGGAGAAGTTGAAGTTGATATCCTCCCACCAGATAATTTGTGAGTTGGAGCTACTGGCATTCACAATCCATAGAGTCCGAGGATCTGTGTTGTTAAGCAAAAGATAATATGTGAAACCACCGCCATTAGCAGTATCAGAGGCCCAGTAAGCATCCAAAGCTGCGGCAGCAGAATATCGTGGGTACAGAACAAGGTTTCCATCACCCTGCATTGAGAGTTGAAACCTTCCAGAAGAATGGTTGGTGTCTGATGAACTAGACACCAATTGACCCCCAGCAGGTAGCTTTTGGCCTCCTAACATAGTATCAGTTGGGTGGTCGAAACTCTGCCAAAGGATCTTGGAATATTCGTCTTGGAGAACAAAGTTTCCAGAATCAAGCATAGAAGCAGAGGAAACAGTTCCATTGCCCGGATCAGCAATAACCTTCTTTTTCCTTGGACCTGTTTGCAGAAGAACCCCGTCATTTGTGGTTAGAACGAGCCTTGCATTTGAGGAGACAGGAGGGTCATCGCGATTTGCAGTCCAGACGATTGTTTTATTAATTCCATCCAGCAACCAGATTCCAACTTTGAACCCATTGCCTTGCTTGTAAAAGCCAAATGCAAATCGACCTGAAGGTGAAGGCCATGAAGGGGGGTGATCAGTGGGGGAAAATAAAAGGCCAGGTGATATGGACTGTGTAAATACAGTCTGACATAGAAAATATACTAAAAAGAGAAAGTAGATGTTTGATGCAATGGTAGCCATGGTCACGAAAATCTCACAGAATTGCAGAATCGCTGATAAATAAAAAGGCTCGCTGCAACGGTGGCCGTGATCTTAAAGTCTTCCAAGTCTTCCCCGAAAGTGTTGAGAAGTTGCCAATCTGTCATTTTCTCACTGTATTTTTTTCCACCAAATTTCCTTGCTGTGTCATTACTTTCGTCCATAGTAGAAAATGACTGGGGAAGCCCAACACGTCAAATTACTAATTAAGAATATTATTTATATGAAATTTTATTTTATTTAAATTAATTGTAGAACCATCATAGATAAATTGTTAATTTAAAATCTTGTAGGATAGTATTTAGGAAAAATTCCAATTAAATCTAATTTAAAATCCAAATTCAGGCCATGGCCTGATTATAAATTTATGAATATTTTTAAAAGAGTAGAATACCCTTTCATAGTTGAATTAGCCTTTCCCTGTAGTGAGGGCACCAATCGTCTTTTATGGAGGTGTAGTCATTGTGTTGTACAGAACATATGTAACAATGGAAATTGTTAGTGGCAATCTAAAATGGGGCCTAACTTTTATCCCTTCTGATATCAGTTGTTGTCGTAGGGGAGAAGATAATACCCAAATTTTAAATTCTTATTAGCATCAAAATGGTTGTCACAAATAAATGAACGAATGCAACTAAAGGTTCTAGTTAATTTTAAATGTGTGTTGTCCAATTTGTTTCTTGCTTGTCACTTTTTGAATTGCTGTGTTATATACTCCCTCTGTACAAATCAATTCACAGTTCTCAAAAAAGAAAATTGTTGAAGCTAGTTGTCATGAAAGTCCAAAAATACGGATCAGATGTTCAACCAGTTGAGGCAATGATTCAAAACTCAATGAACTAAATCAGAGTCAGACTAAGCTCAAACTAGTAATTATTAAATAATTTAATTTAATTAAAATGTATAAAATATTCATATTTAAATCAAGATCCTAAAAACCCGAGATATTTCTGATAATAGGTTAAGAGTTAATAGGTTAGATTGGAGTGAAATCAAAGTCAAACTGGGAGGGGATAAAAAATTAAAAATTAATTTAAATTCTTATCATACCATCTAAAAGACTAAATATCATTACAATACCTTGAATGACTAATAAAATAATCATATACTTTTATTTTCTTTTTAACTTTCTCTACAATTCCCTTCACAAATTGACATCATAGATAATACTATATACTATTAAAATCACTGAATATTCATTCTAGCAAAATATCAAAAATATTTATAGTAATAAAATATTTCTACCTACAATTTTTTAGTCACTAAACTAATGACTATCAATAACTTCGAAAAAGAAAGAAAATCAAGCAAATTTTTGGCATTAAAAGAACTTTAAAAAAATAAAAGTTAAAAAAATGGAGAAAACAATTAGTTGGGTTAACCGAATTTCTCCCGAATACACTGGGTCACCCTGGGGTAACCACCGAGTTTTGCTATCAAGCGGATTGGCCTGATGATTGGTTTCTAGTCCAATTCATCCGGTCCGGTTTTTAATTCATTAATTTAAATATGAAAAAATATTGAATCTTATTTAAACTATTTCCGCAAAAATTCTTTCTTCTTTTCGTTTTCTTTCTTATCTCCTCTATGTGACCCACGCTTTTTCTTTTTTTTTTAAATTTCTTTTCTTGTTCTTTTTTATTCTCTCTCTTACTTTATGACTTGAGTGTTTAACACTGTATAGTCTAAAGGCTACATTGACAGACTTTTCTTTTTGCCTTTTCAGTACCCAAGGCTTGTTGGCCTGGTGGCACAGATGGTGTCCTCATTAGGAAGCAGGTCCGACCCTTGGTCGCAAGTTTTGTGAGCTTGCCCACTCAAAAGAAAGAAAAATCCGTCTTCCAGCAACGCCCCTCATGATCTTCGTTTGTGCATGTGACCCATTTTTCCTAGTAGCTTTCATGGTTTCTCCTCATGTAGATCTGGTTGGCTCTCACCAAAGGCAAACGATAGTGACCATCTTTTTTCCTCCTCCTTACCTTGGTCTCCTTCATCCTTCAGAGCCAACTTCCTGCCTCCGTCCTCCTCCTCTCCCCCTCATCCTCCTCCTCTCTCAGAAAAGATATAAGAAATCCAGTGTAACCCACCAAATGAGCCGGATTGTTCCGGGTCAGGCAAATTTACGCCGAATTTGTCTTCTTCCTATTTAGGAGGTAAATCGGATTGGACAACTAGTTGATTTGTTGGTTTTCGGTCTGAACCAACAAGTCCAGTCTGGCTTTTTGAATAATATTATCTTCTTAATAATATTTTAAATTGATTTTTTTTAAAATATCCTAGTATTATATTATTTAAAGTTTTCTTTTTTCACGAACTTAATGCAGTTTGGATATCTCATATGGACCAGTCTTTCAATAGCGAAAGAGTAAGGAAATTATGCAAGGTTCCAGGTTTGAAGTACACTTATCTCTGAAATATTTTCAAGAGTTACGGATACTCTAAAAGAAATTATCAAGCGCTGGCCAAAAAAAAAAAATGATTAAGTAATATAACATTTAATCTTCTAAAATCATTGTAATGTTGTTTTTTCCCGGAACAATCAACGTTAATTAATAGTTAGGGTTGGATAAGAGCCTTTGTTTTTTTTTTTTTGATACATAAATTTTAGGAAGGGGTTTGGGCTCAACCCAATCCAAGGGCAGGGAAACTGGATAAGAGCCTTTGTTGATCTAATATTATTTTTTTTTTGTTTTTCGTTTAAGAAAAGGGGAAACGTCTTATTAGCATGTGCATCAGGAAAGTAACTTGCTCTGCATTCGTGGATATGAAAGGATAAGACATAATAAGTTTGGTACTTAATATAGGAGTTAGTTGAATATTCAATTTAATATTAAATATAAGACCCTAATCTACTTTATTTCTCATATTTATTTCTTTTGCTCCCAAGTAATTTCCATGGTGATTACATAAGGTAAAGAATTTCCATTACAGGGCAATTCCAATGTAACTGATAAACAAGAGTATTTTAGGGAAGACAGCATCTACTTAGTACAAATAAAAAATTCAAGTAATTTTTTTAATATCCGCAAATTAGTTATCTAACTCTTATATTAAGAATTCATGCGCTGGTAGCAGTAAGCTAAAATAGTTAAGTAAACACAAACTTGAATATGGATATGCAATTGTGTACACACACACATATATATATTCTGATGCAAAAAGCTGCATAATTTTTTAAGATTACCAAGTAAGTGGGACTGGAGATGGAGGAATTGGGATATCTTTTAACCCTTCCAACATCAGTATCACATTCTTCATGGAAGGACGCAGAAATAAGTCCTCTTGGACGCACCATAAGGCCACCTTCACCATTCTCTCCAATGTCCCCCATTCCACATCTTCATCTAATATCAATTTATGCCATTCCCCTCTCACAAAGCAATTATACACCCAACTAGAAAGCATTATTTCCTCTTCTGAAGAAACCTTCAAATCTATATTCCTTCTGCAACATATGATCTCTAACAGCACCACGCCATAGCTATAAATGTCAACTTTAACAGATGGCAATGCATTTTTTTGCTGTTCAGGTGCCACATAGTGACTTGTTGATTCATTGGTATCTCTGGCTCTTGAATGTTCTGGCATTGATGGCCTTGCAAGGCCAAAATCAGATATTTTTGCTGTCCACAATTCGTCCAAGAGAATGTTACGAAGCTTGATATTGCAGTGGACAATACAAACTTCACATTCTTCATGAAGGTACAAGAGCCCCCTTGCTACATCCAATGCAATTTTGACTCTTTGCTTCCAAGATAGATGCATCTCAGCCTTGAATAGAAAATCTGCTAGAGACCCATTGCTCATATATTCATAAACAAGAAGCTTTCTTGAACCATCAATGCAATAACCAATGAGCTGAACTAGATTTCTGTGATGAGTTCGAGCAATTGCAGTGATTTCAGCTTGAAATTCGCTTTCTGCTCCTTCATCAATATTGTTTAGTCTCTTCACAGCAATCCTTCTATTATTTCCTTGAATTTTTCCCTTGTAAACCACTCCAAAAGTTCCTCTCCCAATCTCTTCTGCGAAATTTCCTGTTGAGTTCACCAATTCATCAAAGGTAAATGTTCGTAGACTACAATCCTCAGCAAACCCCAAATTTTCGCTACTAGAAGAGAGCTTTGTGTATGAATAGGCTTTATGAACGTAGATGAAGAAAATAGATATTGCAAATGCTATGCAAAGCAAGGAAATTGAACCCAGAGTGATGACCAGAGTAGAAGTCAGATTCTGAAACTTTGGCTTTGGATTTGAAGTAATGTTATTTGTTGAAGGCAACTTGAAGAGGGCTGTCGTCGATACGCTATGATCAAGTCTGCCAAATTCAAGCGGAAGCCTATACTTCTGGCAGCTGCCATCTTTATGTAACGCAGCCCCACAATCACAGTCTTCCCTGCAAGATTTCCCACAGTCTTCCATTTCCAATAATGGTAGGACCAAATAAGGAATAAGGCCCAATTGCACATCTTCTAAGGGAACAATATCGTACAACATCTTTGGATCGTCACTGGTTTTACAGTCATCTGTGCCTCTTCTCTGTTCGCAGCCCAAGAACGTGCTCTTATTCCCATTTATGGGTGTGAATCCAGGATAACAATGACAAACACCTTCGCCAGAGGTGGGGGAACAATAACTGTTGAAGCCACAAAAACTTCTGACATCACATTGATCAACAAGATTACGCCACACAATAAAGACAGTTGATTTGGCATTCCTCTCAAATCTGTGCACATAAAATTTAAATATCCCATCCACATCAAGTGTTGCACGGTAGACTAGGCTTGTGTTATACCCAGTAATGTTACTATGCCCCAGAACCCTTAAAGTAGTATTGCTTCGATCAACCAAGCAAAGAGAGCCTGCAAGATTAAGAGTAAGCGAGACATACCCAAAAGTCATGGATGCATAGTAAGCGGCTTCTCTCCTTCGATTGTTCACAGGGTAGGCCACAAGATTCCCATCATCCTGCATGATGAGAATGAAGTTTCCACTCGAGTGGTCGGATTTGGACAAAGAAGAGACCAGATTTTGTTGAGGAGATAAAGTTTGACCTCCTAACACGGTGTCGGTGGGGAGATCGAAGCTTTGCCAGATAACACTTTGATTCTTATCATAAATCACGAAATTGCCCGAATCAAGCATAGACGCTGAATGTACAGGCACTGCAAATGACGCATTTGTAATGGATGTTCTTTTCCCTGTCTCGTTAAGCAGAACTAGGCCGTCTTTAGTTAACTCGATCACAGAATCTGATGATAATGGTGGACTGTTGCGATAAGCCGTCCATACAGTTATGTTCTCAGGTTCATGGCTCAGCCATATTCCAACAACAAAGCCTTTACCTTGTGGGTAAAAGCCGAAGGCGAAATGACCAGAGGGTGACACCCACGAAGTGGAATTTGATTTTGGGGAGAGCCAAGAACCCAAACGAATGATGCTGGGATCAGTGGCTTCAGCTATAAGTCGGTTTGCAGAAAGCACTGCGAAGAGCAAGAACAGAGTTATGGAAGCCGCCATGTGGGATTCGTGGAAGGAAGGAAAAACAGATGGATCAAAACTCAGAAGAAACGAAGGAAATTAATTTGCTTTCAGCTGCAAGGTGAAAGAGAGACACCGGCGTAATGATGCAAACGAGTGAAGACTTTGACTGCTTCATGCATTGACCTGTGAATCTGTCGTAACGCCATTTAACCCCCCAAAAAAAAAAAGGTGTGGAAAATGATGGAAACCGAGTCAAGACTTGACTTGCTTCCTGCATATTGCGTGTTCTTCTACACCAGCAGGAACACAAGAATGTGGAAGCAATGCGACTAAAGTAAATTTCCGCGAAGCAACGATAGGTAGGGAGAAGAAACGATGGATAGATTTACTAATAAAATGAGAGATTTACTAATAAATGATGGATGGATTGTTGAAGTTAGGTATACAAAGGATTATTCTTTCAGGTTCACCGGCCCCTTGGCCATAAAAGAAAATTTTTACTAATTTATACTCACAGTAAATCAGTTAATGTTATATGAAAAATAGTTAATATCATATTTGATGTCTCAAATTTTAAATTATAAGTTTTGATTTTTTAAATTTTTTTATTTAAAATGTTAGACCTTATAATTCAATAAAAACTAAACTAATTTGCACTTTGGGATTAAAATATATTGTTTGAAACTTAAAAGACCAAAATCAAAATAAGAGCATTTTTAATAGACTAAAAATTTTATTAACCCTTTAAAAAATATATTCTTTTCATATTTATCCTCATTTAATATATGAGAATTAATGGTTCTTAATTTTTAAAACTCCCTCCAAATATTATGAAACATTCTCAACTAATTCTTACATACAAAGAAATGATAGTTAAAGCATTAAATATATCCTAAATTGGTAATTTTTTTTTATCAAGATTACCCCAACTTAAATGAAGAAGATAGATAAACAAGAAATTCGATGAGCTTTTAATACTAAATATTTATTGTTTTAAACTGATTTTAATTAATTTATTGACAAACGTAAATGGATAAACTTTATCTTATATTTTGAAACGGAGGAAGTAACAATTAATAAGTTGGTTAATGAATTATATTTAGGATAAAAAATTCCTTCTAGATTAGATGATGCCCTGTAATAAAGAGTGGAGTAGTCATTCAGGCTTTTTCATTTTGGCCAAGAAAAAAACTCAAGTCCTTTTCATACTCCTCTGGTTTTATTTTTAGGACAGAGAGAGAAGATATTTTTTATCATATTTATAGAGCAGTGATAGAAATTTTTTGTATGGAAATACAATTTTACTCTTTATTTATTATTGTATTGACTTTGTTTTTATGAGATATAACGTATATTAAATGAGAGTTAATAAAGTTTAAAGTTTTTCTTGGTTTGTATGAAATATGTTGAAAGGAGCTTATAAATAAGACCAGAAGAGTATATTTTGAAAATCCAAAAATGCCTTATATTTTTAAACATATTACTTCCTCCATTGCTTTTTATAAGCTAAAATAGACAAGAGCGGAGCGTCCCTGTTTACAAGACAATTTACCAAATCTGGTTGGCGATAGATATTTTCTCTAAGAATGACCTTTGAAGATGATGCTTTAATTTTTTTTTTCCAACGAAAATGATGCTTTAACTACCTCAAGTCCTTAATAACTTGTTTGATTTTTATTTTAGTCATGAATATAAGATCCTAATACACTTTATCTCTCATATTTATCCATTTTCTTCCAAAGTAGTCCTTGTAGTCATGATAATTTTAGCTAATACTCCCTCCATTCCTTATTATAAGAGACGAATAACCGAATTACGTTGATCAAAAAAACAGTTAAAATTAGTTAAGAACAATTAATGTGTAAAAAGTATAATTTTTTTTCCAAAAATGCCCTCCTTAATAAGGAGAGAGAGCATGAGAGAGAACAATAGTAAATTCTTAAAAGAAAGAGAAGTGGGAAGGAGAGAGAGTGTGAGTTGGAGACAATAAATATGGGTAAAATAGGAAATCAACACAAAAAAGTAGAGACAACTTTTAAGTGTCTCTTATATTTTGGAACATGCTATAAGCATCAAATGTCTCTTATAATAAGGAACGGAGGGAGTACATTTGATTGGCAATGATATTTTAAAAAAAACATCACTTATTTATTACAAATAACTAACTTAATTAGTTTTCTTAATCTACTTAAATTAGTCAACTAGCTTTTATATTAAGAACCAGAGGTAGTATTAATATAAGAGAGATAACAGCATTTAATTGAGGGGATTTATGGAAATGTAAATAATTATAAGGATATAACTTAATTTTCCTAATTTATATAAATTAAGTAAAATTATCTCATAAATAAGAGCAAAGAGTACTTCATAAAAGATGCCTTATAGTTTTTTTTGTGACAAAAAAATGCCCCACAATTTTAAACGAAGGGGTAATGCCGTCTTGGGATCCATTTAAACTTGACAGAGACTTATGGGATAGAATAGAGAGTGGGTTTAGCAGGAATAAGCTAATCTCTTAGAACATGACGAATCACTGTTTAAATAATCTTTATTAGGAGATGTGTTGATATTAAATATAATGACTTTAATAAAACTGTATCAAGTAGGAGGATGTACAGGGAAGAAAAAAAGAAAAAGAATTTTCTCTATTTGGTTTTTTAAATCTCCCCTCCGCCTTCACTTTTCATCGTAACAATTGCATCAAATTTGAACCATTTCGAATGGCATGACCAATTACATCAAGTCACAGTTTTCCTTGCAAGACTTCCCCCAAGCTTCCATTCCCAATGGCATGACGAAATAAGGAATAAGGCTCCATTGCAGATACTGTAGGGAGACAACATCGCACAGCACCTTTAGATCTTCACTAGTTTTACAGTCACCTTTGCTCCTCCTCTGTTCGCAATCCAAGAACGCGCTCTTATTCCCATTTATAGGCATGAATCCAGGATAACACTCACAAATAGCTTTACTGCCATTCATGGAGCAGTAACTATTGAAACCTCAAAAGCCCTTGATTTCACATTGATTAGACATAGATTGCCACACAGGTTTGAACATTATTGAAGCTACTATTCTTCTCAAATGTGTGAACATACAATCTAAAAATACCATCCCAATCTAATGTTGCACGATATATTAAGCTTGCGTTCCTTTCAAGATGGTTTCTACTATTGGCTAGAAACTTATTGGTATTCCCACCAGTGCTTAGGCGAAGAAAGCCCGTAACATTAAGAGTAAGCTGTGAGGCACCTGATTGAGAAGTATCTGAGGCCCGGTAAGTATAGTTCATGCAATTGTTTTTAGTTGTTTTTATTGTTTGCTGTCCATACGATTGTTCCTTCGGGTTCACCCATTAGCCGTATTCCGACCGCAAATCCATTATCTTGTGGATAAAAGCCGAAGGAAAAGAGACCCGACTGTGACACCCATGAAGTGGAATTGGTTTTTGGAGAGAGAGAAGAACCCAAATTTAGAATGTTGGAATCATTTTTTTGAGCCCAAACTTCGTTTGCAGACACAGCTGAATATGGAAAGAACAGAGTTCGGGGGGCCATGGACATGGTGTGGTGCGAGAAGGGACAAGGACGGAGAGAAAATTGATGAACAAAAAGCAGAAGAAACGAAGGAAATTAATGCTAGCTCCTATTCTAATTATAAAATCTCATTTACAAACAAAATCCTATAATTAGAATAGTAGGTAATATGCCCACCATAGGTAGCATGTCCAGGGGAAAAGAAAACTGATTTTTCAGTAACTC